AGAGTTGGTGTGTGTTTTTTGGGGGGAGCGAAGAAGGGGCTCTCAGACAGGTCAGCTCACTGCTGACTCAGACGGTGAACTCCAGCATCGGAAAAGTCTGCCCCTCTGGAGCTCTTTATTTTAGTAATAATACCCCTTTGGTGAGACTTTTTTTATGTTTATGACTTGAATAAATAAAGCAGTCACGGAGTAAAAAAGAGAAAAGCGCAAGAAAGAGAGCAGTACAACTGCTGCAAGCATTTTGTCACTGGCAAACTATCCAACCAGGTGCCAGTTTGATTGTAGTTTTGGCCCAACAGCCCTTTCATCTACATATTTGTTTAAACAGGATGTTGTCTGCTAGTGCCAATGCATCATATGTAAGTGAAACTTGACATAAAAACACAAACGAAGCAGTGCAGGGAATAAAAATGTGGAGAGGGGAAGCAGGTCTTACACAGAGAGCCCCACTGTTTTCCTGTGTGCTGCACTGGGAGTCTTCAGGTAGTCCAAACACCTCATAGCAGCCTGTACCCTCTGCAAGCGCTCCGAGGTGTAGAGTACAGGAGGAGCAGGGCAGGGTCAAACTAAGACATGCGCTTCTGTTAACTCTCATGTTCGTCTGGAGACAGAGCAGACCCTGTACTGTTTCCTGACAAGTCATCAACTGACACTCAGGTCTTTAATGGTTACTTCAGGTGGGAGTTTATTCTTTGTCCGCCACGGATCTGTCCTAAGTGTGTTTTGCAGATTGTCAGCTAGTCTCGGTGGTCCAGATCTTGACAGGTGCAAGAGGTTCAGTGAAAGGGCAGGAAACTTTCACCATCTCACACCGTCTGAGTCAGTTCGACAGAAGAACTGGTACCACTGACCACAGTTGGGTTGTGGGTTAGTTACTCACAACTCTTACGTGGGGATTCCCCTCCATAACGGTGCACACTGTTATTCGGGGATAGCCTGTCAGGGTTGACATAATCTAAATTAAGCTTTCTCTCGAGTAAAAAAAAAAAAGAAAGAAAGAAAATGCTTACTAAAAAAATACAGAAGCCAAACCATTTGATAGAAAAAGCAGGGCTAGGTTGATTGGTGTGTAGTTAAAGTCTCAGTGCACTGGTGGAGAGGGCTTTGAAGTGCAGGCAGGGTAAGCCCTCTGGGGTTTGCTGTGTGGAGATGATGGCAGGAACATGGGAAAGACATGGGATTTGTGGTTCGGAGGGGAGCTGTCGGGGCAGGCAGAGACCGTGATTCACACAGCGCTACTCTCACTGCTCACCAGGTTTTTTTTTAAGACATACAAGGTCCTTTCATCGCCGGGAATCGATGGTGTTGGAGAAATTAGGCCCCTGTTAAGTGACAATTTACGTATGAAGCATTAAAGCACTCACTTTTTCCTCCCCATAAATGATTTCTCCTGTGTCATCAGGCCAAGGTCTGTTTTTTCTCTTCACTCTGCCACAATGACTAGTGGAGTGGTAGATGGTAAGAGTGGTTGCACATTCATCTCAATTACGCTTTTATTGCTGTTTCACCAAGTTTTGATATAAGAACACCCCTTCCCCTGTTCTCTCCTTTGCTGCTTCTTCCCCTTTTCTTTCCTCTAGTCTGCAAGTCACATCGCTGCCAGTCCAAAAGTCAGTGCCAAGGTGAAGAAGGACAATATGAAGTACGCTGCTTGGGCTGCCACTCAGATAAATAGAGCCTATAAGGTGAGTCACATATGGATTAGCATTAGGTTTGATAATCTACCTTCACTATATGTTTCATCCATGCCACTATCTTCATTACTTTTGTCTCGCCTCTCTATCTTTGATGTGTCTGTCTTCTGCTGAAAAAACATCTTTTTTACTTTTTCCCACATTCCCCTTCAATCCGCCAGACAGTGAAAACCACCAATCATATTATCTCATGACTCTTCTGCTGTGTTTTAGCTTTCTGGGGTATTTGCACACAATATCCAGACATCCAGAAATCCCCTCATTTGCATAGTATGTATGAAAAGTATTCACCACCAAATGACCCCTGAATGCACAGCAGTCCTGAAGGATGCCTTTGACTTGCAGTGTTTGTAATAACAACCCTGGTGTCTTTCAGTGTGTCTGGGTACGTTTACTGTTAATGTGTTGATTTAAGGCCGCAACGTCTGCTAAGACTTTATTCCACACACCCTGGCTTCACAGATGAGCCTCTCACAGAGCCACAAGCTGATTCTCCGAGGACGACATTCACGCTAGACTGTAGCAGAGAGTTGTGTAGTTCACTGGTTCTCAGAGCGAGGTTCAGTGACCCTCATGTGTCGTCGAACAGAATCTAGGAGGTCCCCGTCAAATTTACCAGCCTAATTATAGATTTAAATTTTCTTTCTTCAGTTGCAGTGTTTCTACATTTTCTTATATCTTCCCAGATAGGCGCCCAGGAAAGTAAATCTGATTACCGACAGTCTGTAAGAAGAAAACATTTAGGACCCTCTAGGTTTAAATTGTGACTGAGATACCATACAGAGAGTAAGAAAGTGGGCAAATGGAAGATAAAGGATGGAAGTGTGTTTGCGTGTGTGCTCACATATTATAAAGCAAGGAGGGGAAAAAGTGAGGAGCCGCTCAGACAGTATCGCTAGAATGGTTTATGCCGTTGTCATGGCAACCAAAGTATAAAAGCATATTTAAAAGACATCTTATTTGCCATGTGGACCATATGTGTTGCTTATTTGGGCATCAGCAGTTAAACATGTAATAAGCGGTTCCTTGCTCAGCGTGTGGGTCCTGTTGAGAGAGAGAGAGAGAGGCTCCCTGCTGAGCCTCTAAAGACCTCGTCTCACCACACTCATAGACACATTTCACATGTCGAGCACTCAAGACAAGTATGAGGGCTCTGTTGGAAAAAGTGTACATGTAACTAATGTCACAGTGAATGGCTGTGCTCTTCTGGAGCTCTTGTAGAAGTGTCATGGAAGAGCTTTTAAGCTTTTACTTTAGGTTTGAGGTAAAGTGGAATCAGCTGAAGTGGTGCAACCTGTTTTGTTTAGCTCAACACTTCATTTGTATGCAGATATAATAAATCTCCTTGATAAATAGAAAAATGTAGAGGTGGTTTGGTCAACAAAACTGTCAATCAGATGTCTCGATTGACACACCTACCCCACTTTGATCAGTATGCGTGCTGACCTCACCTTGCTGTCTCAGAGAGTCTTTGATCCCAGCAGGGGACAAGATGAATATCCCAAACTGCTAACTTTTAAGCATAAATCACAGGCCTAAAAGAGGGGGAGGGACAAAGTGTAAAAAAAGATCATATTTGGAGGGAACTTAGCAACATCCAAATATCTGAAGAAAACAAGGGAAGGGTGCGAGCTGCTCAGCTGAAGTTGAGTAGAAGGGCAAGGTAAAACGATGCTGTTACGGTCTGTTTAATTTGTGTAATATGAGGATTAATCTGCACTTTTTTATTTTATATTTCAAAACGGTTAGGAATACATTATTGGTAGTTGCCAGGCTGTATGAAGTACATCAAACAAGCTTTGGAACAGATTACTTTGGGATTTCATCTGAAACTTGTTACAGGGATTAGACGGTAGCATAACCAGTATGTAGCACGTTTTCCTTGCTAAAATATTTTCTTTATTGCCAAGGAGGTGTGGGAGAGGGTTTAGCCACAGACAGGGAACACACATCTGTGTTTGGTGATGTTGGCTGTAATGAATCAAATAGATAGCTATTTGCTACCCAAACACTGCCTTACATATGACTAAGTTCAGTAGATTAGTTGTACTTAATGGGCATAGATTTCAGTTGTCAATTAACACTTTACAACATTTTATCTTAAAAGCTAGTAAAATGAATCGTATCATCTGATTTTACTAGTCTTACTAGTTACATATTTATCCTTCACACCTCTAAATGGCCCAGAAGAAAATGGTTTCGGTTGAGTTGTTAAGACGACAGACTGAAATATTTCAGCTACTCTTACAGGCCAGTGGACAGAGCCTAAGTGTTTAAGTTTTGACTATATACGGCTTTGACCCCCTGGTGACGATAATGAGACACCTCAGTCAATCACACCTTTGTCCTCCAGGGAACATGATGTGAGCATCACCCCACCCCTCTGCTTCTCCCCTGCTCTTCAACCTCTTGTATTTGTTGAACTTGCCTGGTAATAGTGGGGTTGTACTTGGATTTCAACTCGGCTGTGAGCGTGTGTACATACACGTGTAGGCAAGCCTGGCATCACGCACGTGTGCACTTGTAGATGTTTTTGCGGTTGCTGTGTGAGACAAGTTAAATGAAGGTGTAAGGTTGCCTCCTTGATTTTTTTCACTCCCCACCTCCACTCAAATGACTTCTGAGATCCTTAAAAGGGAGCGGCGGCGTGGGCCTCCGTCAGACAGCTGCAGGCTGCTGTGGGCTTGTGCTTGCTGATTGATGGCCCCTTTAAAGCGTTGCTCGTGTCAGTCGTCCACTTTTATTAGACCCCGGTACCTGGTGATTGTCATACCTCAGAGAGAGAAAAAGGTGGGCAGGTGAGTGCAAGTGGGAGCAGACGTCAGCGAGAGGTCATGACTGACTGAGGCCCATTTTAAAAAAACAGAAAAAAGTAATTACCTTTGGTGGGGTCGGTTGACGTGTGAAAGACCTGGAGATGTGTGGCATGTAGGTACAAGGGGCTTCAAATGTCCTGCCCTTCTGCCCCAACTCTCTAAACAGATTCTCTGATTAGCTCCTCTGTCACGGACCACGGGCTCCCGCTGCGTCATGACTCTATTATCAGATGCTCTAAATAGATGTGGAGCTGTCTGGTCTGCTCCTACTGTTGTAGAACAGGGCAGGAGTTAATGTGGTGGTCTCACCTCAGGCTGAGGAGATAATTGACTACCGGGCCCGGGGTAATGGCGCATTAGGCAGCAAGGCAATGAAATGCACTGATCATTATAGCTACCCCACCACACACATACACCCTAAATCTAGAAGAATGAGTCACACTGGGAAATTACGTTGCCAATTGCACACCTTAGCCAACTGCCTTCTCTAACTTAGAGTTTGGCAAAAGAAAGAGGAAAAAACTTTTGCCATGGAAATACAGTATAGGCTAAGTTTAGGCTACAGTTAGTTCCTGTTTGTAGAAGCCCGAGCAGGGCCACAGGTTGAATGAATAAATACCTTGCAGTGTTAAAAGCATTGCTTTATATTGAACATAGGGTTGAGTGTTGTCTGTTTTGCTGTTATTCCACAAATAGAATGTAGGGTAGGGACTGTGTGGTTTTGGAAGAAAGCCAAGATGGTCTTGGTGAGGGCATAAGACTTAAATTCCATCAACCAACTTGTGTGTTTTTAGTATTGAAATGATTGTGTGTGCGTGTGCGCTTCTATCTCAAGTGTGCACACACACTCAAGGGGTACATCTTTCACCTTGGAGGACATGCAGAGGCAGCATTGAAACCTTATCCCCTGCCTGTGTTTGACTCTGGGTAATGGTGTTTTTATAATGATTTAATTGAAAGGACCCCGCCATGCAGTTCCGTCCTGCTCGTCCTTTGCTGTTCATCTGTGTTGTAGCTGTTGCTGACATATCTACACAGCAGCAGATTTTTGTATGATGATTGATAAGCAAAAAAACGCAAATAGCCCCATCTAGAGCCAGTTTTTTTGTTTGTCCCTTCTGGGCTACTGTAGAAACACGGCAGTTCAACATCGCGGACTCATTGAAGGTTGCATCTGTAGATATTAAAGGCTCGATCTAAGATGATACAAACAGAAGGATTCCTGTATTCAGGTGATTATACACTAATGGAAACATACGTATGAATATTATATTCCATTTCTGCCAGTAGTCCCTCCGAAATGTTACACACTGGACCTTTAATTAGACTGACCCTTTATTACCGCCCTGGTCCGCCTGCCCAAGGTTAAGGAAGTCGTCTTTTCTCTGTGGTATTTTTCGAGGGGTTGGATGCTTTGTCTGTTGCAAAGTTTAATTGGGTAGAAAAAGTGTGTGCCTGTATGTGTACGCATGAGTAATCCTGGATGTGCTTGTGGATTATAATTTGCGGCACTTCCTGTGAAACCCTTTGGACACAGTGCAGCAATGAGTTATGTACTCCTGTACTAGAGGCCATGGAAGTGGACTTAATCATGTGGGCATCCTGTCTCGGAGCTCTCACACACACGGAGGACTAAAATGGCACTTATGCAACAGTCAAGGAAAAACCCTCCCAATTGGAGGTATTATTTTAAATTGCATGACTTGTTTACCAATTGTATCTAATGACCACTGTTGTCTCTCTGATTATTTGTGCTTCTGTCTTTACAAAGTGCAGCAGGAATGTTTTTGAAGTGTGTTTGGCTCTGTATTTCCTTACCAATGAGCTGATGTTCTCTTTTCCCCTCTCCTCCTCTCTTTCTTACTGTCTCACTCGGTCTCTCTCTGCCTTTCTCCTTCCCTCTCTGACATGCAGCTGGCCGGTCGCGGGACAAAGGAGAACAAATGCTCCATGAAGGCGGTGGAGGAGATGCTGGAGTCCATGCAGATCACCATGTCCTAGATGCCCTCAACCACACCTTCTCTCTTCCCTTTCTGTTCACACACAGCCACTTGGAGCAACATGGCAGCTCAAACAGCCTTTCAATGTGACCAGAACCGGATCTTTAACCGTTTTTTTATTTCTTTATCCCATCAAGTTTGGTTCTGTAATTGATTGAACTTGACATGGACAAGTGCAAAGATTCCCCCACCCATCTGAAAACTACAACAGAAAATTCCAATTCCTCAAATGAATTTAAAGAAGTTGTGCATAGCATTAACCAGCTGTGATTTCCCCTAGACTGGATTTTACTGTCCCTCCCCATCCCATGTTGTCTTTTATGTTCACCTTGAACTGATATCACTAATTAGCACGTCCACATCAAGGCTACAACTCTGACCAGAAAGATAACAAGCTGTACAGTAAATGCTATTTATAAAGACGATGTGGAGATTCCACCTGTCTGCACTGAGGTCCTTAACTGTTTCCGTACTATCTGTAAATGAAACATCTTTAATAAAACTTTTCATTTGTCTAATCTATCAAAATGTCTTAATAAAAGTAGGACTGATAGCCAAGTTGAAAATGCATTTTCTTCATGGGTGTTTTATAGCAGCGTAGGAGCAGTTAGTCTGTTGTTTTTTTGGAATTTCCATGTATCTAAATAGTCATGTTGTCCCCAGCAGTGACACTTACTGACACATTTGAACCTGCTATAAAAATCCTGGAGAAGATTCAGACATTCCTCATTATGAAGGCAGCAGTGGTAACAACAGGGGCATAAAAAAAGGCCCCTTTATTTCCCAGTGATTCCAGCTGGGAAATCCTGCCTTTCAATTACCCCAGACAGCAGCTGAACCAGCTTCAGCACACTGAGGAACACCTCTGTCATTTCAGTTTAGAGAGCCTCAGAGAACGCTGCCAGTAATTAACACGCTACAAGTTGGGAAGGGAAAAAAAAATTGTATTCATGAATCTGGGAACTTTCATGACAGGCGGGGAAGAAAGACATCTTAGTGCTGCGAGAGGTTGGTTTCCTCTGCTGTTAGAGAAACAGTCAGTTCACTGGGTTCTTTAATTGTTGAATCTGAATTGATCCACATGATCATCTGAAGTTGTCACTCACCCGTGCAGGGTCAGCTGTTACTTCCATTTCTTTTGTTTATTAAGTCATGGCAATTGTCTCATAATTTCACTCTTCGGCTGATGGAAAACTTGAGTGTTGAGTTTATGGTCTTTTTTGGACGGCTTTTAAATTTAGAGAGGTCACCAGCTCAAAGCCCAGAGTGTGGAAAGCCGTTTTCTCAAGTTTTTAATACTCTCTGGCCTTGGTCAGTGGATGAATGTGTCTGCATTTGATTTGCCTCACCAATCTGGCGGAACCAATGAAAGCCAGGGGACGTTTGAGCATAAACTGACTTGAGTTATTTTTACAGGAAAAGGGCTGAGGCTAAATGAAGCTCTTTTTGAAGAGTTACAGGGTGAAAGCTGTTTCATTTGAAGCAGAGTGATTCTTTTTTTGTGTTGTAGCTCCCATGTAAATGTTGCTGTACTTGCAAAGGCTTATGAACTTATAAATGGGGAATAAAAGTTACCAATCAGTTGGATGGGTCATCAATATGAGATATTGGTATCCAGTGCCAACCATAATGAGGCAATAGTGCCATCTGTAGTCTGGATAAAGAACTCTGGGTAAAACCTTAAACTGCATGCAGCAATGAGTGACAGTGTGCACCTGGAAGTAGGCTATCACTGTCATGCACTCAACATCAACTAAACTTAACCTGTATGTAATGTTATTTCTTGCCTGTCTGCAACTTTGATTTGCTGAGCGAGAAAAAAAAAAGGTTACGCACCATTTGTCAGTCATGAATTCTGATCAGTCTTCTCCTTGCTATCCAAACATATCCTTGTAGAGTCAAGAAAAACAGCATGTTGGCCCTGCCGTGTGAGCATCAATTCTCACCTCACTGTTTACACACACCTCCAGCTCCTGACAGCCTTTTCAACCTTCGTCCCAGTAGTTCAGAGCCTGTTAACATCTTTTCGGTCCATACCTGGACAGCAGAGACACGGACCAAAAGGCAGAGGAAGGCGATGAGAGAGCCTTCTAACCCCGCTAAGCTGCTGGCTCAGCGTAGTGTGTGTAGGGGATTCGCTATTAGTGCTTCCCATAATCCTGGATTCCCTGGGAGATTAGCCCCTGGAGAGGGTTTGCTTGTCTCCGGCTGCTCTACAGCGGCCAGGTTAGCAGAACAGGATGAGCTCTGGGATGATAAGCTTACACTGGAATAGAGCCTTACCTGATCAGCCTATTCATCAAAAGCAAGGATGACAGTGAACTACCTAAGGCTTGCACTGAGGGACAAATTAATTTATTACATTAAATTAATCAGACGACACAATACATGTTCAAAACACGCATTGCCTGCATTTATCAGACAGCTTATCTGGTGTTGGGGCTCCTGTGAGAAGTAGTTTCCTCTTCCTCCACAATGAGAGGAATAGATGCTCATGAAAGTTTGTTGTGCATAAAACTACTTTTAGCCTTACTAGAAAGATGGCTCTGGAAATCACGTCTGTCAGTTGGATGGTCCACCACTTCATTCCAGACTACAATAACAGATCAGATATTTATGGTCCCGAGGATGAAGCCTAACGGCGTTTGTGATCCCTTAACTTTTCCTTTAGTGTGAGGAAATCGCCACCATGACGTTGACGTTTATGGTTTTGAGTGAAATGTATTGACGGGAATTGCCATGAGATTTGTTATTTTCATTTAGTCCAATGCATTTTTTCAAAACTGGGGTCCGGGGACCAACAGGGGTCCTTGAGTGGGTTGTAGGGGGCCCCCAGCAAAAGGACAAATATAACATTTATCACATTTTTTGGAAGCTGGAACACCAAGGAAAGAACTGGGGTTAGCGGAGACAAAGTGACTGACACTTTGTCTTCAAACCAAAAAATAAAATAAAATACTCAGAGGGGAATACTTAAGACAAACTCTTCTCAGTGGGGTCCATGGTCTAATGTGGATGTATTTTGGGGGTCATTGACATATAAGATTTTGGAAAAACCTGGTCCTATACTTTGGTTAAGGTCCAAATATCTGCAAAACACATTTCCGTCACCCTCAGCCCAACATTTCATAGACATTATGTAAAAGATAATGCCCCGATGAGCTGTCCATTATCAGGAATTAATGGACACCATGCAGCCGATCAGAACTGAGTATTCACAGGGAGAATAGAGACTATTTTGGTGGGGGTCAGAGAAACTGATGGAACAAGAAAGTAGAGCACTATAAGACAAAAGGAGGAGCAAGCTGCTCCATGATGCTCAGGACCGGAGCAGGGGCAAGCGAGTTTCCCAAGGTGAGGGAGTGAGTGGAAAGGGAGAGCAGGGCTCCATCTGTCTGTTTTAGGGGGAGAGGCTGGGAGAGCTAAAGATGGATGAGGCATGCAGTGCTAAATCCTGCCCTGTCCAGTCACACAACCAGGCCTGGTGATGAAATAGTGTTTTGGCTTCAAGCAGGGGCGGCCCGACCCACTCCCTGTTTTCTGGGAATGGAGATGCGGGAGAAGCAGAGAGTCGGACCAGCGAGGGTGGATCAGTCAAATAACACCTGACATGTAGAGGAGAGCTGTGAGGAGATAACAACTCCGGTTGCCGCACAATCGGCCATCCAGAACCCACCTAACAAATTCACAATAATCGGCACCTCTCCAGTGCTTTCCATGCTTCTGATCCATTTCAATTAGCGTTGAATATTAACACTCGTACATTATAATAAATGCACATTCATTGATTCTGGTGTATTTGCATAGATTTGCTTTGATTGTCATGTCAAATTAGTTCTGTTTTCATGATGAAATTCATTTTGTGGAAAATAATGGTTGACAGGCATGCATTCATCAAAGTAGGGTTGTTGTTTTTTTTGCTTTGGATACAGTTCTGAGAGTTAACCACATTTCATTCATCCATCCTACATAGCACAGTCAAAGGTTCTAAACGGCTTCGCTGTGTACTGGTATGGAGGTGGGATGTTTTTTGTGGACTGGGGGTGGGGGGGTTGTATTGCATAATAAAATGCAAGCATTGCATATGAAGCGGTAAGGTCATCTGGCAAAAGTGGTATTTTTTGGTCATTGCACAATATCTCCTTGTTTATCCAGTCTTATTTTTCCCCTACACAATTGCACCAGCATGAGCGCAAACTTAATTTTTTCTCCAAGGGCTTCAATGCTGGGAAATAATTTCCTCTCAAGGCAAGAGAACATCCCTGAGAAAAGCGTGTGTTTGAGAAAGAGAGGGAGAGAATGTGTGGTTATGAAAGTGTGATTATGAATGTGCAGACAATGTGCAGGCATGCCTTTGTGTCAGCTTGAGTTTGTGTGTGCATGTGAGTGAGTGTGTGTGAGGCTATGTGGTAATTTCAACAATATGAAGAGCTTTTGCCTGTGGAATTAAAACTATTGGCTTCAGGCGATGCTTGTACTCCTAAGCCTCTTGACCAGGAGGCTCCAGACTGCTGCGATCTTCTTCCAGAGGATATTCTGCGGCCTCCACGGACCTTTCTGGTTGTTGCGCTGGCTTCTCAGCTCCAGGCTCTCTGGCAGCTGCCTCGGCCGTGCACATGTCCAGGCTGCATTCTGTCTGCACACTCTGTCACAGTGTAGGGCATGTGTCAAATCAGAAAGGGGCAAGTTGCTGGCTCCGATAGACAGTTGTTCTTTCCAGCACAGGCTTCCCAAACCGCAATTCCCCTCTCAGAGCGTCTTCTCAGCCAGAATGCATAGGCTTACCCCACACAAGGCCTGGGGCCTAATTACAAAAAGGAGGGAAAACTGAATTGGCTACTGATTGAGCTTCCTGGGTGAATGTTAATGGCAACCACAGAGGGATATTTTATACCCTGAGAGGGATGCAGCAGAGACGGAGTGTGTGGAAGTAAGGCTGGTTTGGGGTTGTACAGACAAAGCTTTACATGGGTTTATGCAAGCTGTAACAAGTTATTTTATTCCATAGGCATTGTAAGACATCTCGTCTGTGTACACTGGCAGGATACCATCCAGGAAGGGTAAACACTATTTTACTACGATGCCGGAGTCAAAGGAGTTCCAAGGCATTGTGCCAAACCTCAATCCAACTGGGAACAATGGGACACATACAGGATTCCACCGCACTGCAGCAGTGATGCTGTGTCCTTACCCACATACCATACTGTCAACTGTGGAAGGTTAGTATATTCACTTGATAACTGTATAAAAAGTACAGTTTTGAATTACTTTACTTTATTCTATCTATACATCTACTTCAATACATTTCAGAGGCAAATATTATAGTTTTTACTCCACTAGATTTATGTGACTACTGTAACTTAAATAATATAAAGCTACAGCTAGCGGCTGGTTAGCTTAGCTCAAAGATTGGACACAGAAAAACAGCTAGCCGGGCCATGTCCAGTAAAACAACATGCGTGTTGTCCTGTGTTTTGTTAATTAGTGCGCTTTAGAGGTGCACATCAGTGGATGTTGCTGGCTTTGGACAGAACCAGGCTAGCTGTTTCGCCC